TGAGAAGTGGGATGTAAAATGTGGGAAGTGAGATGTGGGAATTGAGAAGTGGGATGTAAAATGTGGGAAGTGGGAAGTGAGATGTGGGAAGTGGGATGTAAAATGTGGGAAGTGAGAAGTGGGATGTAAAATGTGGGAAGTGAGATGTGGGAAGTGGGAAGTGGGAAAGTTACGTAATCGACCCCCTGATTTCAAATTGTTAAATTTTTGTTGAATTAAAATACCCAGAATTAATAAATGTTATTTATCATTGAAACTGAAGCTTTAAGAGTTTCTATTTATTTATTACCAAAAATTCTAATAAAAAGATGATTAATTAATATTTAGTCACATTATACCCTATAGAAATGAAAGAGGAGGGGATATGGATAGGAAAATGAATTTGAAAATCTGTCCGTAAAGCCTTATAAAAGTTGCAAAACGTCTCAGTCTCGTAATTTTAAAATGCAATGTTTTTTAGTATGATTTTTTAAGTGATCCACCACTGGAGCAATCTATAACCATGACTGGTGCAAACAGTGATCCAGAATAGGATCATTGACAAATTATCTTTGATGGAGCATTAAAGTAAACGTAGGTGTCAAAATCAAGTCTAACCTTGAAGGAAATGTCTATTGGAACTATCTGGTCCATAATACTATAAAGAATAACCTCGAATTTGTCTAAAAACAACCTATACAGAACTTCAAAGTCAAAATAAGAAAGTTAAGGGGCGTAACTGATCCACCACTGGTGCAGTTACCCTAAATGCCAAAATAAATATAATTGTGCAAAACAATTTATTGTTTACTGTAAGTTGATAAATTAATACTTTGTTATTTGTTAGCAATTAATATAAGGTTACCGTGTAAGCTTACTGTAACCTTACAGTGATCTTACCGTGTAAGCTTACCGTGACTTTACCATGTAAGTTTACCATGGCATTACTGTGTAAGCTTACTGTATGGCGGACATGTTTATATTACCTCGACCTTACCTAAAGCTAACAGGGTTAGCTTACAAAAATTACATGTAAGCTTGAGGTAAGCTTACAGCAATATATTGTGCTGTGTGGGGCGTATATAGTTTTTGGGACGCATGATTATATGTTGTAAAAATCATTAGTTAGAATTTTCATTTTATGGAATTTTATTTGTCATAATTATTTTTGAGCCGAATTTTTATTTGTTCGAATTAGTATATATATATTTTGCAGAATTTTCATCAAAACTATTTTCTATATTACAGAATTTTTATATAACCGAAAATTCAAAAAATTTACATACAATTGATTTTTCATACTTCGGAATTTTTACTTATAATCGAAAAATCATTTAACAAAACAATTAGAAAAAGGATTAAATTTCTATAAATGTTATCGAATTACCAAAAATTCGAATTTTTAGAAATTTGAATTACCATAAAAAAAACTAAATTTTTGAAAAATTTGAATTATTAAAAGTTCGAATTTTTAAAAATTCAAATTATCAAAAGTTTCATAAAGTCGAAAAACCATTTTAACAAATATTGTTAAAAATTCAATTTATCAAAATATTAAATTTCCAAAATTTCGAAATACAAATTGATTACATTTTTAGAAAATCGAATTATCAAAAAGATCATGTTATTTAAAGTTTGAATTACCATATAAGATATAAGTTTTGGAAATACGAATTAGTAAAAGTTCGAATTAACGCAGAAAATATAGAATTTATAAAAAGTAGAAATTTTTAAAAATACCAATCATTAAAAGTTCTAATTATAAAATAAGATATATAGAATTATTAAAAATTTGAATGTTTATTTGATGAAATTTAAGAATTGTTAAAAAAAATCGTATATATTTCTAAATATTCGAATCACCATAAAAGATCGAATTTTTAGAAATTCGAATTACTATAAAAGTTCGAATATTATCAAAATATAAAATTTTTGGAAATTCGAATTATTAAAATTTCGAATATTATCAAAATATAAAATTTTTAGAAGTTCGAATTATTAAAAGTTTTGTAAATTCTAAAAGTTCGAATCATCAAAGGATCGAACTTTCAAAAATTCGATTTTTTTTTTGGTAATACAAACATTTACAATAACACAGAAAATTAAAAGGCATTAAAATAAGCTGCAACGCTTATTATTTTAATCCAATTTTGCTTATTTTAATCCATTTTGGTATTAAAATAAGCAAAATTGGATTAAAATAATAAGCGTTGCAGCTTATTTTAATGCCTTTTAATTTTCTGTGAATTCGAAATTAAAAAAAAAATTGATCTTTTTAGGAATATTGGATTTTTTTGGTCATTCAAAAATTTGAACAATTCGAACTTTTAATTATTCTAATTTCGAAAAATTAATTTATTCTTGTAATTCAAAATTTTATATATATATATGTATATATCTATCTATATTAATAAAATCAGACTTTTGTCTGTACATTGCTCCAAATTAATTTTTTCTTGCATAGTTTATCATTTTAAGTAGTAAAGATAACAAATATGCCATAAATAAAAATTCTGTCTGTCTGTCTATCTGTCTGTCTGTCTGTCTGTCGTCAATATTTTGTACCGGCACAACTTTAAAACGGCTCAACCGATTGAGGTAAAACTTGGCAGCGTATTCAGTCTTAACGTAACTTAAAATCTTAGCCATATTTGATTAAAAAATATTAACATGAACGAAAGTTATGACATTTTTTCAAAAAATTTAAAAAAATCAAAAAAATGCAAATTTTTTATTTTTTGTCAGATTGATTTGAAACTATTTGTACCTAATTTTTTCACATAAATACAATCAATTTTTTTTATTAAATTAAGTAAATAGTCTGAATTTAAAAGTCTAAATCAAATTTTTGAATTTCCAATTTTTTTAATAACATTGTAATATAAGAATTCGTTATTTTCAACTTTTTATAAGTAAAACAATAATGTTTTTAGTCTGTTGGGTATTAAACGCAATCTTAGCTGCACACCAATGAAAAATATTAATTTAAACAAAAATATGACACTTTCAAAAAATTTAAAATATTTAACATTTTTTATTTTTTGATAATTCTTTACTAAACGTTCTTTATTTAAAATTTTGTGACCAATTAAGTATGCTTTTAACAAGAAATTTTAAGAATTTTAATTTAAGAATTTTATCAGAATTTTAAAATTAATAATTGCAAATCTGAATATGAAATCAGATATTGTAAAAATAAAAAATCGAAAATTACTTTTTTACTCTTTGAAATTAACAATTATTATATTTAAATTATTATTATAGATACAAATTATTTTTAAATATAATAAAACTAAATAAACTAAATAAACTTAAATATAATATAATAAATATAATAAAATTAAATTATTTTCATTTTATTTAAAAGAAATTTTTCTATTAAAAATTTATTCTTCAAATAATTTTTAAAGTTTTTTAAAATTTTAATTTAAATTGTATTGATTAAAATAATTTTTATTTTCAATACTATAAAATTAAATACAATTTTAAATTATTTTAATTTTATTAAAAGCAGTGAAAAAATTAAATTGAATTGAATAAATAATAATTAAAAATTTATAAAAAGATATTTTAATACAGGAGAACACGCATAGTTGGATGTAATTATAAATTTCAAAATTTATTAAATCTAAATATTATAACCGTCGAAGACGGGTGCGACAGCTAGTATATATATATATATATATATATATATATATGGAATATTAAACGTTCGAATTATATTAGAAAATTTAATTTTCAAACTATATAATTTGAACTTTTATAATAATTAAAAATCAAATATCCAAAAATTCAATCTTTTAATAATTCTAATTTTGAAGAAGTCGATCGTCATTCGAAAATTTGAAAATACGGTCAAAATGGACAATTGCATTTTTAAAGAAATTCTATCTTTTGATAATTCAAACTTTGGAAAATTCAATTTTCTAATAATTTGAACGTTTAATATTTAAAATTTCTAAAATTTCAAATTACAAAAATAAACAATAGAAATTCAAATAATTAAAAATACGAATTATCAAAATTTTTGTAGAATTGTTAAAAATTCAAATGTCTATATAATATATATTGATCGAATTTTCAATTGTTCGAATTATATTTTTATAATAATTCAATTTTCTGATAATTCAAACTTTTGATAATTCGAATTTCTAAAAAATTTTCTTTTGGTAGTTCGAACTTTTAATTATTCTATTTATTTTATAACTCGAATTTCTAAAAATTCTTTCTTTTTGTAGTTCGAATTTTTAATTATTCTATGTTTTTAGTAATTCGAATTTCTGAAAATTCTTTCTTTTTGTAGTTCGAATTTTCAATTATTCTATATGTTTTTAGTAATTCGAATTTCTAAAAATTCTTTCTTTTGGTAGTTCGAACTTTTAGAAATTAAAATTTTTAATTATTCTATGTTTTTAGTAATTCGAATTTCTAAAAATTCAATCTTTTTGTAATTCGAAATTTGTGATTTTTTAAAAAATATTAATTCTATTCTATTTCTATTAATTAAAAATTCGTATAAATAAAAATTCGCTAGTTAAAAATTTGTATAAAAAAGAAAATCTTGTTAAAATTTTAATTTGAAAATTGAAAATTCATCTTAAAAAATAATTATATTTTCAATAAAATAAAGTTGAAAATAAAATTTCTAATTAATAAATTTTTATGGGAAATAAATGCGCCGCTAATTATTAAATTATATATTTATATCTGACATTAGAAGTCATTTATATGAATTTTAATTCGATTAACCTCAAGTCAAAAAGCAAATGATGGCGTTAGGGTTGTAAATCACTCTTCATTCCTCAAACCCCCGAAGAAATTTCACACCATTCCCCCCCCCTCTCTCTCTCTCTTTCTTCAATTTACTAATTGAATTCCGTAATCGAAGTTTATATCCAAAGCCAATGGTTAACGCCCAAAAAGGCGGACTAATTTGAAACCACTCCCTTGAAAAAGATGAGAACATCTCGGTTGGAGCAGCTCAGCATCCAACAGCGAGATTAGTATCACTTTGTCGAAACTCGTGATCGCGCACGCGTCTTAAAAAATCCGCCAAGCTCAATTTTTTTCTTTTTTTTTTTTATTCAACATCAGTGTTTTATACAAAAGTGTTGAAATTTTTGTGAAAATCGTCATTTTTTTTGGAAAATCTCAAATTTTCATTTTTTTTTTTTTTTTTTAAATACTGTGCGTGAAATTCTATTATTTTTCATTGCAAAGAAAAAGAAATTATTACAAAAAATGGAATAAGAATATAAGTGAAAAAAAAAATCTAAATTTATAAATATTTAATGTAAAATATTTGGAACTGAAAAAAAATTAACAATTTAAAAATTCGACGCCATTGTTATAAATAATTGAATGTTGTTTTTTATTTTTTTGAAAATTTTTTGAAAAAATCAACTAAAAGGAATTTAATTCCAAGTTTAATGGATCATTAAGTGTAGTGAATTTTTTTGGTGTATAGAAGTGTCATAAAAAAAAATACAATTGTTTTTGATTTGAGTAAAAAAAAAAAAAACTAAAAAAATGCTTGGGGGGTATGAATCTCAGGCGGATTATTATCCTCAGTGGCATCAACCCTATAATTATGTCACTCAACTTCCTTATGGTAAGTCAAGTTTGAAAATCGGTTTTTCAATTTATAAAAAAATGTATTTTTCAAAATAAGAAAAATATTGGTCCCAAAAAATTGTTATCCAAAAAAAATTATCTTTTTGTTTATAAAAAATATAATATGCATAGTTAAATTATTATAAATACTGTGATTATAATATTATCTGTAATGATTTACAAACAACTGTCATGTGCTGTTATCAAAATTTAAAAATAACATATATACACATACTCATCATTTCTTTAAACAAACTTCAAAATATGACAAAACATTTTTAATATAAATTCAAAAAAGTTATTTATTGAAAAATTGTAATTTAAACATTTTATTAATTATTTATTTATTATAAAAATAATAATAATAATAATAATAATAACAATTATTATTATTATTATAATTCATTAAAATACAATTGATTGAATAAAATAAACTAATCAAAGTTTACATATTTCGAAAGAATTTTTATCTAGACGAATTTTTATTTGTTCACGAAACTGAAGTACGCAACATTTATGAGAAACGATTTTTAAAGAAATAATTTTTTAAAATGATAAATTCTATAATTTTTTGTCTAAAAAATATTTCTTAGTAGTTTTTATTAATTAACAAATTATAAAAAAAAATATTTTTTAAGCAAAAAATGTAGAATTTTTCATTTGAAAAATTATTTCTTTAAAAATCGTTTATCATAAAAATTGCGTACTTCAGCTTCGTAAAAGTTCGAATTGCCAAAGGCAGAATTTTGACAAATTTGAATTAATAGGTAGTTTTAATTACTATAGAAAATCAAATTTCCAAAATTTCAAATTTTGCTAAAGATCGCGAATTTCTAAAAATTCGAATTTTGCAAAAGATCGCGAATTTTTCTAAAAATTCGAATTTCTGAAATTTCGAATTATATCATAAAATCGTATTGTTAAAAATTCGAATGTCTATATATAATTGATTGAATTTTCAAATGTTAGAATTATCAAAGGATCGAATTTTTAAATATCAAGTTTCTGATAATTCATAAATTACTTTTAATTATTCGATATTTATAGGTTATTAAAAATTCGACCAATTAGACGTTAGAATTTTTAACAATTCTAACTTTTGATAATTCAAACTTTTGAAAAACGATTTTCTGCGATGATTCGAATTTTTAATAACGATTGTCTGCTATAATTCGAACTTTCAAAAATTGGATTTTCTGCATTAATTAGAACTGTGAATAATTTAAATTTCTAAAAATTCGATCTTCTTTTTTTTAATTTAGGCCGAAATAAGACAAAGAAATTCAGAAAATTTTATGATTGATTAATTTTAAAATTCCCGCCAAAATTTTCTGTCGAATATTTTTTTTTCGAACATTTGCAATTTCGGTCAAATAAAAATTCAACATTTTCAAAATTTCCATAAAATAACAATTTTGTGTATAAAAATAAAAATTATGTCAAACGAAATTTCGATGAAATAAAAATTATATTAAAATGAAAATTCAGTTAAATATTAAATAGAAGCTGTATTTTAATTAGTTGGAACTTTTTTTTCCTGTATGAATTTTTAAGACGCCAAAATTTTCATTTGTCCGAAATTACAAATGACCGAACAAACTATCGACAGAAAGATTTTGGCTCAATTTTTGAAAATTGACTAATCACAATTTTTTTTTTTGATAATTTCTAATTGGTGAATTTTAAAAATTGTGACGAAATCTTTCTGTCGATTTTTTATTCGCCTATTTGTAATTTCGGATAAATGAAAATTCGGCGTCTTAAAAATTCTGTCAATTAAAAATTCGTACAAATAAAAATTCAGATAAATGAAAATTCGGTGATTTAAAAATTCTATCCATTAAAAATTTGTATACAAATAAAAATTCGGCGAATTGGAATTTCTGCGTCAATTTAAAAATTCGAATCACATAAAATTCGATTGAATGAGAATTGTGTTAAATTCAAATTCTTTTCAATAAAAAGTCATGTAAAGAAAATGACTAGAAAATAAAAATTCTGCAAAAAAAAAAAAAATTTGGTAGCTAAAAATTTTGTTATGTAAAAATTAAGTGAAATAAAAATTTTTAAATATGAAAATTCAATTCAATGTAAATTCTACTTTATAAAATTCGGTAATATATAGAAATTCGAGTTTATTAATTTCGAAACTGTATAGACATTTCAACAAATTTTGTTTGCGAATTTTCTTGCGTTTTAATAAAATTAAAGAATTTTTATTGGGTAGAATTTCATTGCATAGAATTTTCATTTTATATTATTTCAGATGAATTTCCATTTGTTCGAATTATTATTTGATATAATTTCCATATAAACGATTTTTCATACTACAGAATTTTTACTTAACCGAAAAAAAATTTAACAGAATTTCTAATTGATAAAATTTTCATTTGTCCGAAATTGCAAATGTCCGAACAAACAATCGATTTTGGCGCGATTTTTAAAATCAACCAATCACAATTTTATGGATAATTTTTGATTGTCTGATTTTAAAAATCGCGCCAAAATCGATTGTTTATTCGGCCATTTGCAATTTCGGACAAATCCGAAAATTCTATCAATTAGAAATTCTGTTAAATGACTTTTTTGTTTTGTTAAATGTTTAACATAGAACAAATGTAAAATTCATCTGAAAGAATAAAAATTTATGTTTTATGTTAAATGAAAATTCGGGTAAATAAAAGTTCGAACAAATAAAAATTCTGTGAAGTAAATTTTTGGTTATGTAAAAATTTTGTAATATAGAAAATAGTTTTGATGAAAATTCTGCAAAATATACTAATTCGAAAAAATAAAAATTCGGCTCAAAAATAATTATGACAAATGAAATTACATAAAATGAAAATTTTAACTGATTTTTATCTAATCCCATGTGGAAAAGTCGACTGGGCCCCAATCTGGTCCAAACTGGGTTTCCCGCAATGTCCAAAGTGGGCAACCCAGACAACGCCCAAACTGGGCGTGTAACGCTGATCCCAAAGATTTCCCAAGGTTGGGAAATCCCAGCTGGGGCCAGATTGAGTTATTCCATTTTTATTTATAATTGTTAATTAATAATTATATAAATAATTTAACAACAAAAGAGTAAATTAAATGAATAAATATAATTTCCTTTTAAATGAAATTGTATTAAAGATGACGACTAACAAACAATGTATATCAGTAAAAAAAGTAAAAAAAATATTTATATAATTTAAAAATTAAATAATAGTGTGTATGTATTAGATTTTCAAGTTTTGGTATACAACTTATAAATTAAAATCTAGAAATAACGCAAACCTATGAAATAAACAAAACTGCGCACGAGGGGAATCGAACCTACGACCTACGGACTTATAGATTAACGCTCTAACCACTATGCTAACGACGCGTACCTGCAGACAAGTTTTAATTTCTCAGTATCATTTATATCATACAATTATTGAATCAAAGATGTGAAAATATCATTAGGTTAGACAATAAATTAAAATATAATCATTTACTTAATTTCATTTATTTTAATTTAACATTTTTACCAGTAATAATTTTGGATTAATAAGTACCAAAGTCAAAATTTTGTTTAAATAATTTATTAAATTAGAAAAGTATGTTCAATTATTATTAATAAATTGAATAAAAATAGAAAATAAATGATTGAGAATGGGATCAGAGTCAAAAAAGTCAAAAAGACTCAAAAAACGACTAAGTTATATTATTATTAATTAGCTTAGTTCAATAAATTAAAAACTAAGAACTTGACATACATTTTATTTATTCAGGGAAGATATTATTTAAGCATTAATATAATTAACTAAACTTTTCAATTTCCTTCTTTTTCCTTAAATGTGAATTTTGTTCATATTGGCTTTTGGAAAAATCTCCAAACGGCATATAAATTAAATATAAATATAATTAACTAGTTTTATTATTTCTCAAGTTTTTTTTATTTTGGGAAATCCCAGTTGGGGCCAGGTTGGGTTGACCCAAACTTTGTCCAAGTACAATGAAAAACAAACATTTTTTTCAGCTTTTTACAGTTGCACTTTTTTGTATATCCCAGATGAAACGATTCTACGGAAATCACTCCACGGAAATTCCATACGGAATTTCGTAAAATTTTGAAAGTATTCCTTTCGTAATTTTGCGAATTTTCTTGGAAGAATTTCATACAGAATTGCACAAAATTTTCAATAAAATTCCACAACTTTATTTTTTGCTGATTTTTTTGTGATTTTAAAATAACTGCTGCTACTATAACGAAAACTAGTCGACGATGATGTTCGTCTGGTGGATATAATATAGAATTTATGATAGATTAATTAATATCTAGTCGAACTTATTTGAGAGGTCAATACCCTGCATAGTTCAATAGGTCCTTAACTGAATTTAAAAAGTTGTATGGACTATAAAAAGTAGTTAAAAGAACTAAGAATTTAGTTGGGTCAAGGAGATTTTGTAATTGTTCTAATTTTTGAAGTTGATTTTACTACTTTTGTTAAGTACAATTAACCACTAATTCTTAACTCCATAAAAAATAGTTAAATTGACTACAACGCATATAGTTAAAATAACGAAAAAAGTAGTTACTTTTACTACTTTCAAGTCAGTTAACTAAAGGTAGTTGAGGATTTCGGCTAAATTTTTTTCAGTGTACAGTTGTGAAATTCTAACAAAAATTTTGTACAATTCTGTATAGAGATTATGTGTATAATTCTTATAAAAAATTCCCAAAATTGCAAAAGAACTTCTTTCAAAAATTTTGCGGAAATTTTTGCTGAATTCCGTATATAATTTTTACGGAATTCCGTAATTTCCGTGGTGTAGTTTCCGTAGAATCGTTTCACCTGGGATATTTGTTCAGCATATTATTTAAATAATAATTTAATTAACTTAATTCTTTTATTTCTTCATTTTTCCAACTTTGAGAAGTAAAGTTAGGCCCAGATTGGCGCCCAGTCTCACTTTGGGCGACTTTGGGAAGATTTCCACACGGGATAATCATGTGTCCTGTTTTTTTTTTTTTGTTTCTTGGTAAAAAAAAAATGTGGTAAATCCTAAATTTTTTTCTGTCTCAAGGTCACACTGGAGTTGCAGATACACATTCTTATTGGGGTGCCGACTCCGATATATCGGGAGGTAGTTCCGGCGCCGGAAGTCCAACGGCATCTACGCCGCCTTTGATCGAAGAACTTGGCGTTCAGGACTCAAGTTACTCATCTCCTGAGCAATATCAATATCATCCAACTAATTCACAGCATCAACATTATTCTGGTCTAATTTATCATCATCATCATCATCATCAACAACAACAACAACAACATCAACAACATCAACAAGATGCATCACAAAGTCAACAACAAAGACGGCAAAATGAATTTTCCATTTCGTGTGCAGTTCTTCATCAGTCGGAAAATGTAAATCATTCGGTTCAACATCATTTGTCAACAATTAGAGAAGGTGGATTGGTGGTGAGGCCAAAGAGACGTAATACAGCAAATAAAAAAGAAAGAAGACGTACACAAAGTATTAATAATGCATTTGCTGATTTGAGGGATTGTATTCCAAATGTTCCGGCCGATACAAAATTAAGTAAAATTAAAACATTAAGACTCGCCGCTTCTTATATTGGATATTTGATGGCTGTTTTGGAAAGTGATGAGGGTCAGGAGCCACAGACATTTCGTGCGGAAATATTGTCAACTGGCAAACGAAATAAATCACAACATTTGGTAAGATTTTTTTTTTCTTTTGTTTTTGTGCAAAAGAAAAAACTATTTTTTTGATAATTCAAACCTTAAATAATTTAAATTTTGAAAAATTCCATCTTTTATTGTTTCGATTTTTTAATATAATTCGAACATTTGGAAATTTTATTTTCTGCATTAATTCGAACTTTTGAAAATTCGATTTTCTGCTATAATTCGAACTTTTAATAACTCCAATTTTTAACAATTCTAACTTTTGATAATTTGAACTTTCACTAATTCGAGTTTCTTCGATAATTCGAAATTTTTATAAATCGAATTTCTTCGATATTTCGAACTTTTAATAATTCGAATTTCTAAAAATTCGATCTTTTGGTATTTCGAATTTTTAACAATTATTCTATTATTAAAAAATTCGAACTTTTTAAAGTTCGATTTTCTACGATGATTCTAACTTTTAATAATGAGAAATTTAAATAACTTAATTTTCTAAAAATTCTATCTTTTAGTATTTCGGATTTTTAACAATTCTAACTTTTGAGAACTCGAAATTATAATAATTCGAACTTTTGAAAATTCGAGTTTCTTCGATAATTCGAATTTTTAATAATTCGAATTTCTGAAAATTCGACCTTTTGATATTTCGAATTTTTAACAATTCTATTATTTAATAATTCGAACATTTCAAAATTCGATTTTCTGCGATAATTCGAACTTTCAATAACTCCAATTTTTAACAATTTTAACTTTTGATAATTTGAACTTTTAATAATTTGAGTTTCTTCGATAATTCGAAATTTTTATAAATCGAGTTTCTTCGATATTTCGAACTTTTAATAATTCGAATGTCTGAGAATTCGACCTTTTGATATTTCGAATTTTTAACAATTCTATTATTTAATAATTCGAACTTTTGAAAATTCGATTTTCTGCGATAATTCGAACTTTTAATAATTCGAAATTTTAATAACTTTAATTTCTAAAAATTATATCTTTTGGTATTTCGGATTTTTAACAATTCTAACTTTTGAGAACTCGAAATTATAATAATTCGAACTTTTGAAAATTCGAGTTTCTTCAATAATTCGAAATTTTAATAATTCGAATTTCTGAAAATTCGACCTTTTGATATTTCGAATTTTTAACAATTCTATTATTTAATAATTCGAACATTTCAAAATTCGATTTTCTGCGATAATTCGAACTTTCAATAACTCCAATTTTTAACAATTCTAACTTTTGATAATTTGAACTTTTAATAATTTGAGTTTCTTCGATAATTCGAAATTTTTATAAATCGAGTTTCTTCGATATTTCGAACTTTTAATAATTCGAATTTCTGAAAATTCGACCTTTTGATATTTCGAATTTTTAACAATTCTATTATTTAATAATTCGAACTTTTGAAAATTCGATTTTCTGCGATAATTCGAACTTTTAATGATTCGAAATTTTAATAACTTTAATTTCTAAAAATTATATCTTTTGATATTTCGAATTTTTAACAATTCTATCATTTAATAATTCGAACTTTTTAAAGTTCGATTCGAACTTTTAATAATTCGAAATTTTAATAACTTTAATTTCTAAAAATTCTATCTTTTGGTATTTCGGATTTTTAACAATTCTAACTTTTGAGAATTCGAACTTTTGAAAATTCGATTTTCTTTGATAATTCGAAATTTTAATAATTCGAATTTCTAAAAATTCGTTTTTTTGATATTTCGAATTTTTAAAAATTTCTATCTTTTAATAATTCGAACTTTGAAAATTCAATTTTCTGCGATGATTCGAACTTTTTATAATTCAAACTTTTGAAAATTCAATTTTCTGATAATTAGAACATTTAATTAATTAAATGAATGAATGAATGAATTAATTAATTGAATTCTAACAATTTCAGTGTGAAAATTCCATGATTGGAACTTCATTAGTTGGCCATGAAGAAACTACGAAAAGTAAAGGACGAACTGGATGGCCACAACACATGTGGGCTCTTGAGCTCAAACAAGAAACCCCATCGAGTCAATTACAATAGAACTTTCAAAAACCATTCAATTGAAAAAGTTACGAATTTTTTTTTTTTTTCTTTCTCTTTTTGAAAACTATATATTGAGTAAAAGATTTTTTTTTTTTTTTGCATATTTGTAGAAAAAAAATATCTCTCTTCTAAAGTCAATAACATCTGTGTAAAAATGACCAAAGTTGTACATATATATACATATATATAAACATAGTTAAAGTATAGAAAAAGAAATTAATTTTTTTTATTTATATAATTTTGCAAAAAAATTCAACTTTTAATGTAGAAATAAATTAATTGCCATCGTTAATATAATTTTAAGAATAAAAATAGAAGAAAAATAATAAAATATCTTTCCAGTGTTTTATATCAAAGAAAAAAATTTTTTTTTTTATATCGTTAAAAAATATATTTATATTTTATATAATTATATATTATAATTTAAACCAAAGAAAGTAGAAAAAATTTGAGACAAATATTTTATAATTTTTCCATTGATTTTGAATTTATTTTTTCTAAACATTGAAAAATAAATTTATTTGATTCAAATATTACTTGACTATTATCAAGTAAATGTTTATTTAAACCAAATAATTTTTATTTGAATCAAATCAATTTTTTTTTCAATATATAAACAAATTTATTTTATCATTGAAAATTATTTTAATCAATAAAAAAAATTTTTTTTTACGAAATTTATATTAATGTTGCCGTAGTGATAATCGGAAAATTTTTAAATAAATGCATAAAGTAGTATATATATATATATATATTGAAGAAAAAAAAATTTACTGTTACATATATTCGATATCGATATTAGGATAATTATAATATAATATATTTAAATAATGTAAATGTTTTTCGACACCAAATATCTTATTATTACTTGCTATTAATTAGGTATATATATAATAAATATAAATCCAGAAAAAATGTTTCTGGCTAAAAAGTTACGAATAATACATTTCTTTTTTTATTTGTTTGTAAATGAAAATTTTTTGTAAATATGATGAGAAAGAATAATAATTTAATTATAAATAATAGAAAAAAAAATTAATATTCCTTTTTCCATGAGAAATTTCCCATATTTAAAAAATAAAATTATGTTTTTTAAAAATGTGCAAAAATTTTTTTTTTTTTTTGTAAATAAAAAATAAAAAAAAATAAATAAATAAAAAATTAATAAAAATTAATTTTTTCAAAATCGATTTCAATCATTTTATTTTTAATTTGGCTGAATTTGGTATATAAACGAAATTTTTCGCATTAAGAAACCAAAATAACAAAATTTTCTGTAAGTATCTTTTAGTAAGAATTAAGTATATATTAAATAGGTTTAAAAATGATCAAAAATCATATTTACAATTTTCACACCCTTTGCTTTGCTTTTTTTTTTCTTTTTTCTTGTGAAATATGTAATCCCAAGGGAGTAGGCGGTTCAGTTAAACTTGTAAACGATATGGATATATGACTGGAGGATAAAATAACATCCTCATAAAAGAAATCTTTGTATATATGAAATAATAAATTTTCTGAGCTTTCAAAGTTAAATAAACATTTACTATTTGGAGAAGTTATATTGTAGATTATACTCTTTTTTTTTCTTACGAAGAATATTTAAATAGGCTTTTTTTGTATATATGGGTGATTCTCCAGAAACAGGTCACTTTTGATTCTTTGATTAATTAGTTAATAAATATTATCTAGAATTGGTTTATTTTTTTTTTAATTTCTTCATTTTAATGATCTTTAATAAACTCATTATCAATATAATGATATTTTACTTCCCAAAATTTATTTTGTCATCTGAAATATGCTAAAAATATACTTTTGCTCGTTCCACACATGGATTTTGCTATTTTTGAATAAGATTTTTGACATTAAAATTAAAAAAATAAAATTTGTCATTATAGTCATTTTAAAGTATGGCTGAAAAACTGTTATTCCCTAAAAGGGTTTTTAATTTTTCGTCCATTTAAATAAAAAAATGTTTATTTATAATGTTTCTTCGTAAATTTTTTTCTGGATCCGGAGTTGAGAATTTGACTAGTTTTTCGAGGTTTTGCTTGTTATTTTCATTGTAACTAAAGCAATTTTTTGATAAATATGTGTAAAAATCCCAATTGAATAAAAATCAACGGTACTAATTAACTAATTAACTTTTAAATTTATATTATTAAACAATACAATTTGCGTATTTTTATTATGTCTCAACTCCGAACCTGTTTAAAACAATCGTTTTTCAAAATAATTTTGAATTTCAACCTATAGTATCGATAAAAGTAATAAAATTGTATAAAATCCCTAAAGGATTTTTTATTTAGTCCTTAATTAACAAAGTAATTAATGTTTTTCATTTGTTTCTCAACTCCAGCTCTCTCAACTCCGGCCCCCGAAATTTTATTGAGCATGCGCAAGTTTCGCGCGAGCAGAAACGACACTCAACTACAGGGCCGTCATTCAGCTTTTCAGTTCCCTTGCGTTTAAGAAACTTAATTTTTTTTCTCTATTTTTATAAAAAAAAGCCGAGATAAATTTCTACAAAACAATTAATTTTTGCAAAGAAATTATTGTTTTGTTATCGAAAAATTAAATATTAAAAATTTAATTACATGTCTGCGCAAAAACAATGGTGCCTGGGGCCCCGGCCGCCCTTGCTACGCTATTGCGCTGAAAGTACTACAATACATATTTATCGTTAAAATTACATTAAAAACGGTTTTTAAGCTCAAATATTTATTAGAATCACTTGTTCCAATCATAATTAATAAAAAGGATGCAATAAACATGTATTTTTAAATAATTTTGAAAAAAAAATTCCTTATTCAAAAGTGACCCGTTTCTGGAGAATCACCCATATATGGAAATACATTTTATTTAAAAACTATTGTTTCATATTGAAATAAAATTATTATTATTAATCATTAAAATGATGATGATTATTATTATTATTTAAAATTGATAATTAATTAAAGACAAATTTAAAATTTGTAACATGTAAAACAATATTTATAATTCAATTTTGAATATAATATTATTCTATAATTAAACAACATTCCAGTGGGCAAAAAACCATGTTCGTTCTAAAAACGTTTTAAGGCCAGGTCCTAGTAAGGCAGCACCACCTATATCGAAACTAAAATTTTGGAAAATTATTTACAGTATTTACTTGAAAGCAAGACAATAAAATACTTTTTCCTTTAGGATAATTGATTATTGTCAAGAAATATACCAGCTAAAACTTTTTTTGAGTTAAAATAATGAAAAAAAAATTAATGACGATAAATTAAATATGAGCATATTTTTTTACGAAAACTTTTAAGATATTTTCTCGGAAATAACAAAAAAAAGAATGCTATTTTCATTTGGAGAATTAATAAACACTAAAAAAATACACCAGCAAAGATTCACCAATCACGAAAATAACAACAAAAGCTTTATTTTAACATAACCCTAATAAAACAAGATATCTTGGGATATATTGATAATATCCCGGAGATATTCTATAGGGATGTCCTATGGATATCAAAAGGATCTCTTAAGGATATCCAAAAAATCGGCGGTTTGGATATCCTTTGGATATCCCATGGATATCTGAGGATATCCACAGGATATTTTCTGCATATCTCTATAGACTTTTATAAATTTCCTCCAGATATCCCATAGATATCGTCAGGATATCCCACAGATATCATCAGGATATCCCATAGATATCGTCAGGATATCCAACAGATATCGTCAGGATATCCAACAGATTTTTTCAGGATATTCTCAGTATATCTTCTGGATGTCAAGAAGATATTCTCAGGATACTGTTTTTAAAGTCATTATATGAGACTACGAGTAAGAATATTCTGTGAATTAAATTTTATATAAATAAAATAATATGCAACTTGTTTTTCGAGAAAGTTGTTTAATTTGAAAAATTATTAACTAATTTTTTTCTCATTCGTGATTCATTCCTTTATTCATATGCTTAACATTGTCAGAAAATAAATTGACTTTAAACAATATAAATTCATCCCCGCAAATAACGAATAACTATTAATATTAATTATACATTAAGTGCATGAGTTTATTTAAAAACTTTGAAAAATGCGTTTCAAATCTTCATTTAAAATAAATTAGAAGCTCATAAGATTTTTGTTTTTATTATATTATTATTCATTATATTAGCTTAACAATTTTAACCTTTAAAAATATATGTTGAGATATTAAATATCCCGTGAATATCCTAAGAATATCCCACGGACATCCTGAGGATATCCCATGGATATCCTGCGATATAATATCCAATAGATATTTTGTGGATGTCTCAGGGATATCCTGTGGATATTCTATGGATGTCCTGTTGATGTCCCACAGACCGGCGGTTTGGATAACCTAGAGATATCCTATGGATATCCCAAGATATCCTGGGGACCTTTCTATGATATCGACCATTGATATGGATATCCTAGGGATATCCTTTTGTTATGAGGGAACACATCAACACTATTTTTGCTGATTTTGACAGCCATTTGGTATAGATAATAAATGTTACAAGTTATTTCGTGATTCTGCCAACAGGAGGAGATTGGCGTTGTTGCTAAACAATTGCAAATATATTATTTGCCAAATGGCTGTCAAAATCAGTAAAAATAGTGTCGATATGTCATGTTAAAAAAAAGGTTTTTTTTTGTTATTTTCGTGATTGGTGAATCTTAGCTGTTTTTTTAGTGTTTATTAATTCTCCAAATGAAAATTGCATTTTTTTTTTTTTTGTTATTTCCGAGAAAATATCTTAAAAGTTTTCGTAAAAAAATATGCTCATATTTAATTTATCGTCATTAATTTTTTTTCATTATTTTAACTCAAAAAAAGTTTTAGCTGGTTTATTTCTTGACAATAATCAATTATCCTAAAGGAAAAAGTATTTTATTGTCTTGCTTTCAAGTAAATACTGTATATAATTTTCCAAAATTTTAGTTTCGATATAGGTGGTGCTGCCTTACTAGGACCTACCCTTAAGGACGTTTTTAGAACGTTTCATGTCCGCCAAATAATGTTCTGGAACAAAAATTTATTTTAATTTAAAGAAAAAAAATTTTATAATTATATTATATTATTTGGAATTATTTTGAATTATTGAAAAACGTCTCATGGGAGATGAAGTATCTTTATAGACAATATATCGAGATGTCCTCATAACTGTTTATAATTAAACAGCTCGTCTCGACGGTCAACGTCTTCCATTCAAGTCTAAACATTCGTGATTCATTGTTGATTTTCCATTTTATTTATTTGATAATAATCAA